TTTTCTCGGAGAAATGCATCGCAGAATATTTATGATTTACGCAATAGCGAAACTGATCTCTCGTTAAAAAAAAACGAAAACGGAATTTCTAAAGAAAACATTTGGATACAGTGGAGCAATTCTATGGAATAGTCTCCCGCAAGATGTCAAGGCGGCGGAGTCAATTACGTCATTTAAAACAATGGCGAAATTGCATTTAAGCAGATGATAAGCTAATTTCTCCAGGACCAAATGATGGGAGGACAATATAGATTGTGGGCGGGAGGGGGGTTAGTTTTGCGTGAGGGTGGGTGGGTACTTGTTTAGGGGTTGGAGGTTTGGGAGGAAGATGATAAAATTTTAGGTGGGATTCTTACATATTTTGTTCTATATATAATTAACATTTAGCTCTTTGTGTGTATACGCCCTTCGTGGAAACCAGTTGTAAATAATTGTCGAAGTTAGCGTATTGAAATAAAGTTTTACATACATACATACTTTTCATATAATTCGCACGCGCAGAGAAACATCTGCGTGTTCATTCTTTCTAGGCATGCGCATAAACCGAATTTTCTCCCACAATTGAAATCTTCAAGATTGCGGAATAAAAACTAGCAAAGTAATTGTTCGAATGTGTTCGGGACGGTGTCGTCAGATACTGTCCATAGTTGTGCCGATGATTTTTGATGAGGCAACAGCTCTCCAATGAGAGGTAATGAAGTACGCTTTTGTCTTCTAAATTTCCATCATCAAGTGCGGAGGGGAAAATTAGAACACATAGAAGTTTTTGGTTTTCAAATAAATTTTCCGTGGAAATTTAGAAGACAAAAGTTATTATTATTATTATTAAGACAAAAGCGTATGCATAGGAAATGAGGGAAATACGTGATTAAACGCCCCTTTCGGTTGTAGGTCCCTGTGAATTGAAATCGAATTGCTAATAGATCAATTTGCTGTTGTTGCACTGTACTTGTAAAATAAAAACTTATTAAGTGTCATTTAATAATGCTTTATGCACTAGCGTTATATAATAAAATTATGTTATTTAAAAGGGTATATAGTCAAACTACATACCAAAGTACCAAACAATAACTGGGATCCAAATATGAAATCCTTCTCTTACTCAAACTCAATAGTTTGTTGTTCTAAATACACTGCTACAATCTTGGACATAACTGGTTGAGACTATTTTCCCCCTATAGAAAATTCGCGTATTTTTATGATAAACTCCATGTTGAATCATATTGCCATTCTTAAACCCCCGCTCCCCCAACTCAATGTTGAGCTTGTATCTTGGTGTATTCCCAAAAGTTGTCTCGACGTTGTTCACAACATTGAACTGGGGAGACAAAATTTGTTTTGTCAATGTTCAATAACTTTGTAATATTAGCTGGAATGGTCTCAAGGGTTTTGTCCAAGATTGTCTGAAACACACTGAATTTAGTTGTGCATGATAACTCAATCTTTTTTTAATTTTCTTCACTCCAGTAGTCTGAAAGATGGATATACACGTTAAAGGACAATGGCACCGAAAATTTTTATTGGCTATTTCAATCCTACTTGACGACCTAACTATGAAAATATTGTCATTTCGTTCTCAAACATTTTAGTCTACGAGTAAAATGCATGCAAACTTTGTGTTTCGCCGCCATCTTGGAAATATTGTTTGAAAAATTATCTCGAAGGTCAATGAACTTTGTGACGTCATTGGATGGGTAGCACCAAAACTACAAGAGAGAATTCTATTGCGTGCGTGTTATGTTAGCCAAAAATATGTCGTTTTGAGCGTTATACTGGCCAACACTCTTCGCAATCAAACAAGATAAGTCTACACTATCAGATAAAAACATATCGAGCGACTGGGAAAGCAAGGAATGGCGCAATTTACAATACAGGTAATTGATCATAAAATATTGCATTAGTATTTGTCTTGTTACACTCCAATTTCTGCGTTTATTTAACACGGAGTAGGATATATACTATGAGAAATAGTGTTACAAACAAGTTACATACTTGGTAAAACTTTGCTGCCTTTTGTTTCGGCTCCAAATACACTACGCGCGGCAATACTCGGGATTGTTTATAGTCATGAAATTGTGTTTACCCAGCCAATGACGTCAGATAATGTACTTTGTGGCATAAATTAGCATACGCGCTTATTTTCAAAATGGCGGACAACTGTTGAACTTTTCATCAAATTTTCTCAACAACTAAACGCGACAAACCGGCCAAAATATGATATTAGATATTCCGCAAGTATACCTAATAGATATAAGTAATAAAAATTTTGGGTGCCAATGTCCTTTAATACTTGTTTTTCGAGCAATATATATATTTGTTTGCATCAAAAGCAAGCAATATAATGCCTATTTGAACTTATCACATCCTAAAATATACGCATGAAACGCATGAATTTTTCTTGTTGTTTCATCTAAAATATATAGTTTTCTACTGCCAGAAGCGAGTAATATCATGTTACTGGGGCATAGAGGTCGAGACACATGCATTGGGATTTAATTCCATTATGTAAATATCACGTTCAAGTGTTGCTGTATATAGGTATTTTTTATAAGATGACGTCATTTGTTCTATAGTTTATGAGCCTCAAACTTGCTTTTAAAACTTATCATTTAACGCGAATTTTTTTATATGACGGTTAACCAAGTTTAGTATAATTACAATAGGTGATTATTGAAAATTCTCCACGCTGATTGGTTGCCGTTGAGGTGATTATTACGCGATAATCACCTAAGCGATTTTTAAAATGGCGGCCGAAGCCTTTTTGTCAATTAAATGACGAAGAAATGTGTATTTTCTTATTTTTTCCCAAATAATCACCTATGAAATTATAATAAAACAATTATTCACCTCAGGCTTGGTGATTATCGTGAATAAAAACCTCGATTTCGTCTCGGTTTTTATTCACCGATAATCACCTCGCCTTCGGCGAATAATTGTTAAATAATCTTTATCGCGGTTTGACAAAAGAACGGTAAACAGGCCATTACAACGGAAAACGGCGACTCCAATTTAAAACAATGACTAGACCTATCATTTACTATAAAATCTTGCTGCTATCCCCGTTTACCGTTCATATCACATCAAATCTTTTCGTTAATCGTTTGAAATGTTCTTATATATTATTATAAAAGGTTTATGCTCCAAAACTCATGGCGATATACTCGCATTTCTTTACTATGGCCAATTTGAACATTGTACAGGCGACCCTTTGTTCCTCGTGGGGGGTCGCCATACTAATAACCTGTGAAAAGTGCCGATTGCCTATATGAAAGTAGCTGTGTAGACAACACGTTTAGCATGTCCATGATTCCATTTCTTTTTAAACTCTGTAGCTATGTTCTATAGCAGTAGCTAATTGGTTCAAATAGACCAGGGAACGTTCGCACGTTAAAGTGATAGCCGTTTTCTGAGCAAACCATGTTATCAAGTTTGACCAATTCGGCTACTTTTAGTGTTGGATATGTTTTTACATTCACTATACGAAGCTTTCAATAATGACATGGAATAAGGTAGAAATCATGTTTACCAAAAGTCCCATAAATAATTTACTTTCATCCAGACGTGTATTATGTCCTCCTAATTAATTTCCCTTTACTTACAATATAAATATACAAAAACCGCACTTGTTAATGCACAGAAAGAACATGTACTGAAGGAAGTTCAGCAACACAGAAACAATACTGGGTCACTTTGGAAGGTAATTAAAGAAAATATAGCGTATAGGGAAAGAGAGTCATTGGTCTACAGTAAGGAACCGAAATTAGTGGCCGAGGAGTTTAATCATTTCTTTTCCACCATCGGTGTGAATGCAGCAAAGAAAGCCTCAACACTAATACAAGATCCTAGTGTTTATCCAGCTCGGAATCTTTCTGACGTAAATCGCACAGATAACAGCTACCCTGAAGAAAATGATAGATTTAGTTTCACCCCAGTCTCTTGTTCAGAAATAAGGAACATCATATTAGCTATGCCGTCAAACAAATCACCCGGCAAAGACAAAGTGAGTATGCGTGTCATCAAACACAGCCTACCGGTAATTCTTGGGCCCCTCACCGATATCATTAACTGTTCACTGTCGTCATCTTCGTTCCCTATAGCATGGAAAGAGGCAGAAGTTATCCCTTTGTTAAAGGATGGAAACCACGAGGAAGCATCAAATAACCGCCCACTTTCTCTCCTTACCTTTCTTTCGAAAATTTGTGAAAAAAGTCGCCTTGAATCAATTTGGTTCGTATCTAATGAAGAACAAAAAATTGTCAACCCACCAGAGCGGGAACAAGAAACATCACTCATGCGAAACATTGAATCTTTTGACCGGAGATACTATCCTAAAGGCCATGGATGGGAAATTGGTTACTGCACTGATTCTAATAGATCTATCTAAAGCCTTCGACAGTGTAAATCATACTTTTCTCCTTAC